AAATAATAATGATTTTTTTATTAACGACTGTGTTAATACACTCATGTTCTTTTACTTCCAACAAGGTTGTAGTATTTTATTTATAGCTTTGGAGTGTTTCTCCATATTAAACTTCCATGAGGGCTACATAGAAGACACTGTAAAAAATACTTCTTATGATTCAGGAGACATTGCAAAAGCCTCCATTCCATTGAAGATTAGCTGTGGCAGTTCTGATTCCCCAAAACTGAAGTGTTGTTTACTTTTGAGAAACAAAATCCTGAAGGGTGGCCATGTCATTTTCTAATTAGTGTGAATTATTTTCGGCGTGCTGCCCGTAGGGTTACTATGAGCCACAGTTGACTCGGTGGCAACCAGTTTGGTTGGCTTCACTCTAGTGAATTCCTTTCTGTACAGTGACTTCTATTTTTGGTTGCAGTTCTATAAAGTAATCTGCCCTTATCATTCATATTTTTGGCTATTCAGTAAGGTGGGAACTATTTTTGATATGCAGAAACAAATACTGAAGCAAATGGGTTCCATGCATGTTCTGTCAACAGAGATATCAAAAAAAAAAACCCAAACTGATAAGTCCCATTTTAAGCAGGCAGAGTCTGGATAATACCAAACTACAAGGCAACAGTTCGTACGTGAGAACTAGCAGTACTGCCAAATTGAATGACCAGTTAGACTCAAAATAAACACACTGAAGTTAAGCAAACTAGATGTCTATCTGCAAGAGACATAGTGGACTTAGTTGGTAAGAAAAACAGACCCTTTGATTTTTGGAATGCAATTTTAAACTGTTGCCACCCCTCTAAACTAAAGGTTGGAAAGGTCAAAGGGAAGCTTTGCAGCTTTGCTAGATAACATTGGAGCTTGGAGCTATGGTATTTACTAAACAGATGGCAGGCAGAAAGAACGCTGGGTAAGGTTTGCCTCTTTCCTGCAGCCCCCCTGGGCACAAAAGTGAAAGCAGGCCCCCTCTCTGACTGCACCCCTGCACTTGCTATCGCTCCTGGAAAAGAAACTTCAGTTCTGTGGACCTCGGTTGCTTCCGGTGTAAATGGATTTGGGAACATTGCTTTTTAAAGTTTCTGTCAAACTTATTATAATCCTATTATTCTTAGATTCAGAGAATAGATGGAGGATTTTCATTCAAATGATCATTTGTGGAGAAAATGTTTGGTTCTACTTACAGTTGATAAATTTGTTCATTATTTTTCTTTTATCGACAATGTGGAAAGTTTCCCAAGTATAGTAAAAAATAAAATGAAGTGACTCTTTAAGAGGAAGAGTCAATTAAGGAAACTGGGGGGAAAATATATGGCCTTCTCTCCAACTCCTGAGTATCCAGGGTATTCGTGAACTTGGGAAACAACTGGTAAACTTAAAACACTGATGTCCCAAATTCAAGCCATAGAACAGAGATTATTAGGTATTTTTAATTTACTTTTTAAACTTGTAAATTTAAGTTAAATTTACAATTCAGCAAACATACAATTATTGGTATATTCTTAGTTTTGATTGAATAGTCTTATCTCTTCAACTGTTAGGTAGAATCATGAAATTGCCATTTTTTGAGTTAAAATCCATCCTGTATTACTTCACATAAACCTGTAATGGTAATAATCTTCATGAGAGTAGGCTACAATGCACACACCTCTCAGTTTCCCTTTAGTTCTTGATACAATGCTGTGAATATTTTAACTTTGAAAAATATGTGTTAAAAGTAGTATTTGGGGCATGTGAGACCATTGAGTGCAATTATGCTCTTTTTATGATGAAGATAATGAGATCCCCACAGTTCTTCGATCTGTAACTCTTTTCAATGTTCAGAATAACACCTGGACTTATTAACAACAACAAAAATATTGAATGTACCTTGATAATTCTACCTGCCAGTGGAAGAAGCTGATCTGATACGTTTTATATGTATGGTTATTCACAATTGAAGTTGGCAAAAGGGGAATGGGGCAAGCCTCAGATTTCTATAAACCAAAAGACACTATTCTTTTGCCATTTTTATTGGAAGAAGTTTTACCATTTTTAGGGGAGATATTTAAAAGGTCAATTCTAACAAGAAAAAGCTTGGTCCAGAAGAAAACAATAATAATGCAGTACTGTTATTATAATTCCAGAATATAAACATGGCCAGAACCTGAAGTGTGACATCGCTTTGTTATTTGTGTTTGATAAGCTTCCGTTCTCCCTAAGGAAGCAACCTCCTCTTGTAGATTGTTACTGCTTATGGAAAGGTGTCAAGGCTTAGCAAAATTAAAAATAGACTAAGTATACATATATTTATAGGTCATGTTTGCTTTAAGTCTTACACACTGTGAAACTCTGGATTTTCTGTGACGTTTCTTAGCCATTTTAATCAGAACTGCATTTTAGAGCATCTGGCTTAATACTGTCACTAATAACACCAAAATGTACAAACTCTCCAAATAATGTGGTCCAACACTCTGTCTTTCCAAATTAGGAAACTGAGTCTCAGAGAAGTTAAGTAATTTTAGATTGCTTACACAGAACAAATTGCCATTTGGACATCTGGTATATGGCTATATCTAACATGCCACACTCTCTTAATTTGTAAAATACTAGCTTTCTACCTACCCTCTCAAAAATGGGGTGAATGTTAAGTAAACAATGTTCTGGCCTTGTTGTTTTGAGCTCATGATTACATGTTATGTGATTTAGAAATTGTGTCCACATTTGGTGACCATTGAGGAATTGGGATGTTTCAACCCCAGGACACAGCTGTCCCCTGTTTACACATCTACCCATTTTCAAAACACCTGGAAAAGTCGTCAGAAGCTTTGAAACAAAGACCTATTGGACACAAAGCCTGAGCTTTCTGGTTTTCTTTACTTTGTTTTATTTTTCTGATAGAAACCTGAGTTCTGCTGGCCCTGATGGAAGGAAAGTGATGAGAAGGTGTGATGGACTGATTGACTCCTTGGTCCACTATGTCAGAGGAACCATTGCAGATTACCAGCCAGATGACAAAGTAATTAAAAAGTTAAAAACCCTGCATACCCAATTCCCTATGTTGTACGACTCTTCAGTGTAACCTTGAAGTAGCTGTTTGGACTTAAATTTAGTCATTGACACATATGCTGGGTTTTAAATGTCCCGTACCTGTTTAGTCCATCTTTCTTTCTACCTTTCCAAGCATGCGGAGCCTTGGTGAAATAGTGGGTTACACAATAAGCTGCTGACCCAAGACCAGCAATCCAAAACCACCAGCTGCTCTGTGGGAGAAAGATGACGCTTCTCCCACAGAGATGTACATTTGGGAAACCCATCAGGATAGTTCTGCCTTGTCCTGTAGGGTTGGTCTGAGTCAGTGTTGGCTCGATGGCAGCGAGGTTGTTTGTATGTTTCCAGGTACACATTTTCAGCGACATATTTAATCATTGCGTCTGTATATGTGAAAGGAGCTCAGATTCTACTTCTTACTCCTCCTATCACCATCCGCTAAATGACAGTAAAACTGAGTAATGTTGGAATGCCTCTCTTCACCTGTGGATCCACTGGGTAGCAACATGTCCATTCACGCTCTGCAATGCCTTTAGTTCATTCACTCCTCTTGGCGGCCCTGCTGCGGTCCTAGTTTATGCAGCTTTCATACTGATCATTGCAATAAACTCCCAATTGGTTTCTACAAACAATATCTTCTTTTAAGATCCAATTCTACAGAGCGACTACTACGTTATGACTCACTCCCCTAAAAGTAAATTAGACAGACTTTTCATTGCTTTAAAAACAAAACACTCAGCCCTGACTCCTTAGCATTGAGCTTGCTATCATTTAAGATCCAACCTTTGCCTTTCAAGCTACACTTATTCTACTCTCCCCAGACTCCCACAGTGTGAGTACACCAAACCCCATCCAACATACCTTATGCAAGAAGGCTTCACAAAAGCTTAAGGAAAAACTGGAGTTAAAACACAGTGTGACATAACACAGAAAGAGGCTAACTACATGTAAGTAACGAACATTCTCATTCTTCATTCCCAGGCCACCGAGAACTGTGTATGTGTTCTTCATAACCTTTCCTATCAACTGGAGGCAGAGCTCCCAGAGAAATATTCTCAGTGTATCTACGTTCAAAACCGGAATATCCAGTCAGATGACAACAAGAGTATTGGGTGTTTTGGCAGTCGGAGCAGGAAAGTGAAAGAGGTACACTGAGAGGTCCTTTAGACAATGAGGGAGGGAAGGAGAAAGGAAACAACAGGGAGAGAAGGAGGGAGGGAGAGGAGGGGAGGAGGCCCACATGTACATTCCTAGTATGTCAAGAACTACTTTAAATGCATCAACTCTATGAGATACGGATTATTAATGTTAACTATTGATGAGAAAACGGGGGTACAGAAAGATTAGTTATTCCCAGAATAATTCAGCAAATACATAAAAGGTTTACAATTTGATTCTAGGGAATTCCGTTCCACATCTTTATGTTTAACTATTAAATCATACTGCTATATATCATATAGATTAGGAAATAAGCTTCATATAACATAGCCAATAGTATATACATGGTTTTAACCTTAAAAGCAACCCTCTTATGAGCTTTGGACATTCCAAAAACAGACTTTTGACCGACTAAAGGCAAACTCCATGTCCAACAATGGTTCTTTATTTCCATACTAATAAGGAAACTGGGAGATAAAAATATATGACCTTCTCTTGTACTCTGAGTATCAGGGTATTCGTGAACTTGGAAAACAACTGGTAAATTTAGAACACTGATGTTGTCCCAAACAACTTCATGAGACTGAGGGAACAGGCCTGTTTTTTCTTATCACTAGCATGTATGTGACTAATTTAGCATTTAGCCTTAACAGCAGCTGAAATGATTCCAGCAGAGCTTATGCTTAATTCTCTGAGTTCTTTCCCACTGTAAAATGTGGGAGGGGCTGTTAGGAAGAAATATCGTCATGAGTAAGAAGTTAAGTGATTAGCACTGTACATATTTGTTATTTATTTGTATTTCCAGGGCTTCTCATTCTGTACATTGTCTTTCTCAACGAGGCTGTGTTTCTGGTCTCTTGGGCTGGGTATGGAATTGTTGAGATTGCTTGAGGTGTACTCACTGTAGATTCCATTGTGTGTGTGGTTAGCAGTTCCAGGACATGCCCATGCCAGAGGAAAAGAGCAACCCCAAGGGTGTGGAATGGCTGTGGCACTCCATTGTGATAAGGATGTATTTGTCCTTAATCGCCAAGAGTGTCCGAAACTACACACAAGAAGCCTCGTTGGGAGCTCTCCAGAATCTCACAGCAGGAAATGGACCAGTGAGTAGCAAGCTTGTTTTCCTTTTCAAAATAATGACATTGCAGACATACCTACCTTAGTTTCAGAGATAAGATAATGACGTAAGCGCAAAGGTTTTCTCACTGGACTCAAGTCAACCCTCAGGAATATCGAGAGTATGTTTCACCTTCCAGGACCTTGAGTCACTGCTCTGTAAAGCCCCGTCAGACTTGGGGTGCAGCCCTCCGTGTATTTTCATAAGTAGTACACCCACATAAATAATGTGCATCCACATAAATAATATGGGCAGAAGAAAGTAGTGGGATTATGCTAAAAAGTCTTGGTGAAATACAACCACACATACAATGTGCACGTCTCATGACATTGGCCTTATTCACATTCATTCAATGGTCTGAAAATGTTACTTTTGGTCATATTTAGCTTTTAGCCTTAATAAACCATGGTCAAGAAGTGTATAAGAAGTCAAGAAGTCATAGATAGAGTTTGGTAATACCCCAGTACTCTGACAATAAATAGGTGAAGCTCTGTGCTTGTTCCAGGGCAGTTCGCAGCCTGGCCTGAGAGCAATGGGATTCCTTGTGGCCAATCAGCCCAAGATATGTCCCACTGGAGAAGACTAGGCACAGGGCTAGCTGCCATAGCCCAAGAATGAGCTGGTCTTGCAAGGCATAAGAGACTCAGCCAACTTACATTTGGGTCCCATGGTGCTGGCCTTATGTGAAGCTGAGCATCTATAGTTTGTGGTGTGACACGTACTGCCTCAAACCTGATGGACTCTCGGGTGGCTAGTCAGATTTTCTTGCCAGAGCAAAGAATACACAACCCTCTTGCATCTGTGGCTCTCATGCTTACCCTTCAGCATCCGCACAAGTGAGAGATTCAAAGAGCCCAGGCCTGGCAGCTAGCCATCTGAACAGTGGGGCCAAATGCACATCACTACAGCCTACCAAACTCACCAGCTTGAGTGGCCGCTCCACACAGTGGTAGGAAAACCCACACACCTCCTGGATAGAGGCTAGCCACCCTAGCAGGGACTGTTCCCAACGTGGAAACAGTGATTTCTTCCTGCATTTGAGAAAGCAGTTTGCAAAGCAGAGAAGGAATAGGAGAGGGATTGCATTAGATACTCAAGGGTAGGGTGGTGAGAATCTACTGCTGGGAACCAAACCTCTGCATCAACAGAAAACAAGGTGGAGACTTAAATCCCCCAGACCAAAAAGAAATAGAAGTCAACAACATGTAAAAATATGCCACTATAATACACTTAGGAAATAATGTAAAGTGAGCAGCACACATGATGTATAACATGCTTCTTACTTGGGTACAAATTTGTATTAGTCAGAACTCTTTTTTGGTTACAAAGCATAAAATACCACTTCAAACTGGGTAAAGCATAAAAGAGGTATTTCATGGTTCTCAACCTTCCTAATGCCGTGACCCTTTAATACAGTTCCTCATGTTGTGATGACCCCCAACCATAAAATTATTTTTGTTGCTACTTCATAACTTTACTTTTGCTACTGTTATGAATTGGGTGACCCCTATAAAAGGGTCATTTGACACCCCCCTGTCGCAACCCACAGACTGAGAACCGCTGCATTATGGGAAGGTCAAGATGCTCCAAAAAATATGATTCTAACGATCTCCACCTCTGAGCTCTGCTTCTCTGTGTTGGGTTCAATCCCAAAGACTTGAGAGTGTGATGGCAAAGATACAGAAAACAAAGCCCATTGCCATTGAGTCGATTCTGACTTAACCCAATCCATATATTATGCAGTAGAATTGCTCAATAGGGATTTTTAAAACAAGAATCTTTATAGAAGGACATTGTGTTACTCTAGGTCAGGCATCCTCAAACTATGGCCCGTGGGCCACATGCCGCCCAACAGGTGTTTTTGCCCCATTTGTTTTTTCACTTCAGAATAAGATATGTGCAGTGTGCATAGGAATTTGTTCACAGTTTTTTTTTTAAACTATAGTCTGGCCCTCCAACTGGTCTGAGGGACAGTGAACTGGCCCCCTGTTAAAAAAGTTTGAGGACCCCCACTCTAGGTAGACTAGATAAACAAAATTTATAGACACTCATATGTGTATAAGAAAGAGCTTTATATGCAAGAGTAATTGAATATTGAGAAAACATCCCAGCCCAGTCCAGATCAAGTCCATAAGTCCAATATCAGCCCATATGTCCTATACCAATCTATACAGTCCTCTTTAGACTCATGAAATACAGCAATGATGCAAAATGCAGAAAGATCCTAGACCAGTGGGTGGGAAGTGGATCCAGTGGTGTTGTAAGCATCTCAGCACTGAGGTGGGTCTCCACATGGCTCCTCCAGCTCAGGGCACTGGCATAGTTCCATGTGTCTTGTCAGCTGCAATGTCTCCCAGGGAGTCAGCAAGTGTCCCACCTCCAGTGAACTATTTACTGGTATCTTGTTGGCACCTCCAAATGATGTGCTGCCACCTGATTGACAGGCTAAACTCCACCCCTTCACTCTTAATCCTCTCAAATTGACAACAGATTATGTAACTACCACACATATCAGTGCTGAGTCAGCAATCATATGTACAACAGAGCAAAACATTGTCCAGCCTTTGCCATCTTCACCATGATTTTTATATTTGAGCCCATTGTTGCAGCCCTGTCTCATTTCATCTCCCTGAGAGTCTTCCTCTCATTTACTGACCTTCTACTTTACCGGGTAGGGGCTGGAAGATGAGTACAAATCCCTGGTGCCTCCCAAGTAAAATCACTGACTACTTCCTTATACTTGCCTGATATACACCTAAGAAAGAAAACGCTTTTCCCCAATAATTCCTTAAGAATACAGAGAATGAGTCTCACGATCTGGTTGAGGTTTCCTGCTCATTTCTGAACCCGCAACTATGGCTATAATGCTGTGATTGGCCAGGCCTGGGGCTTGTACCCATCTGAAACTATCAGCACCGACACCACTGAACTGACCTGGGAGAGCAGTGGTTCCCTACTGGAAAATCAAGTGTTGTTATGAAAAGAAGGAAGAATGAACAGCAGGCAAAAACAACAGATGTCCACTGCAATATTGACTTGGAAGGGATATCTGTGCCTTTGTGTCCCAAAGATCCAACCACAAAACAGCTGTTTCTCTTACCAGATACATTTTGCCACCATGCACCCCCACCCCCTCACCTCAAATAAAAATAAAAGCAAAAGCTGATTTCTTTCCCTATATTACACCGTGCTACATATGTAGGGATTCTAGAAATATCTAGTTATTGAAACTATTCTTTGCCAGGACCACAAAATGATTAAAATAAATTCCCCAAGAATAGGTTATTCCCCAAATATTCATCCTAAGAAAAATACTCTTGTAGGTAACAAAAATATTGTAATAAAAATATGTAAAACAATGTATAATTTCAAAAGGGATAATTAAAAAACATGGAGAGCAGATAATACCTCCAGATAATATCCAGGCTACTTACTTATTCTAGTTAAGGAAGCATATTCATCCTTTAATAAAAATGGGTTTACACAGAAGCTTGCTCTTTGTTTTGAATACAGTTGTGAAAGGCCAAAACCAGTGTTTCTCTTATTTTAGCACTGCATACGAAGACAGCCAGACTTCCTCACACCTTTGTGATTTGCAGCAAGATGTAATTGTGCACAAAGAGAAATAGGAGCAGGGAATTATCTGGAAGCCTTCAATGCCACACAGGCATGATTTTTTTAAATCATTTTATTGGGGGCTCGTACAACTCTTATCACAATCCATCCATCCATCCATTGTGTCAAACACATTTGTACATTTGTTGCCATTATCATTCTCAAAACATTTACTTTCTACTTGAGCCCTTGGTATCAGCTCCTCATTTTCCCCTGCCTCCCCACCCCACCCATCATGAACCCTTGATCATTTATAAATTATTATTATTTTGTCATGGCTTACACTGTCTGATGTCTCCCTTCACCCACTTTTCTGTTGTCCGTCCCCCAGGGAGGGGGTTATATGTAAATCCTTGTAATCGGTTCCCCCTTTCTACCCCACCTTCCCTCCACCCTCCCGATATCACCACTCTCACCACTGGTCCTGAGGGGTTCATCTGTCCTGGATTCCCTGTGTTTCCAGTTCCTGTCTGTACCAGTGTACATCCTCTGGTCCAGCCAGATTTGTAAGGTAGAATTTGGATCATGATATTTATTGGTGGGGAGGAAGCATTTAAGAACTAGAGGAAAGTTGTATGTTTCATCATTGCTACATTGCACCTTGACTGGTTCATCTCCTCCCCGAGACCCTTCTGTAAGGCCATGTTCAGTTGCCTACAGATGGGCTTTGGGACCCCAATCTGCACTCCCCCTCTTTCACAATGATATGATTTATTGTTCTGATGATGCCCGATACCTGATCCCTTCAACACCTCATGATCACACAGGCTGGTGTGCTTCTTCTATGTGGCCTTTGTTGCTTCTGAGCTAGATGGATGCATGTTTACCTTCAAGCCTTTAGGATCCAAACACTATATCTTTTGATAGCCAGGCACCATCAGCTTTCTTCACCACATTTGCTCATGAACCCGCTTTGTCTTCAGCGATCATGTCGGGAAGTGAGCATGATGTAATGCCAGTTTAATAGAACAAAGTGTTCTTGCATTGAAGGAGTACTTGAGTGGAGGCACAGGCATGAATTTATCATCTTACTTCCCAGGCTGGATTTACTAAAAACACTTATTTTATTTTCCTAAAATCTGGAAACCTTTGTAAAAAGGTCTACCAAAAATCCCACTGCTAGAGAGTTGATACAACTCACAGCAACCTTCTAGGGCAGAGCGGAACAGTCCCGGGAGGTTTCCAAAGCCGTAATCTTTACTTAAAGAGGCTGACTGCTGCACTTTTCTCCTGCTGAGTGAGTAGCCAGTGGGTGTGAACTCCCAACCTTGTAGTTAACCCGTTAACCACTGTGCACCCAGGGCTCCCTCCTCTTAGTATCTCCCAGCCAACGTAATTAAAAATCTCAGAATTAGAATAATCATTCCTATT